TGCTCAGGGCCCTCACAGCAAGTTGTGTTACTAGAGTTGAGCGCCCCAAAGTAGATTGCTTAAAAATAGAAAAGATAGTGTCTCACTTTGTATTCCTGGCTTCCTGGAACTCACTGTGTAGACCAGGATGGCCTCGAACGCCCAGATCCTTCTGCCTCTGTCTTCCTAGTGCTGGCATTAAAGGCATGCCTCACTATACTGGACTACATTTTGGTGGGTGAGGGGGCGGGGGGAAGCGGGGGGTGCACTGTGCCCAGGAAACCCCTGTGCTGTGGGGTTTCTTTTCAGTACTGGTTTAAAAGACCTGTGATTTGCAGTTCTCCCTCTCCCTTTTTGAAAGAAAAAAGTTTAGTTTGGAAATTTATGACCGTTTAAAAAACTAAGCATCTCACGGTGAAGTCCTGTAGACACAAAACCTCGATTATTCGCTTGACATAAGTCTTATCATTTATATAGGACAGAGCAGTGAGAACTACGGACCGGGTGATCCAGGTTTCAGAAGGGAAAGAACTCAGGAATGAGCCGGGCAGCAGTAGCACACGGCTGTTAATCCCAGCACGCCTTTAATCCCAGCATTCGGGAGGCAGAGACAGGCGGATCTCTGAGTTGAGGCCAGACTGGTCTACAGATGGAGTTCTAAGATAGCTAGGGCTACACAGAGAAACCCTGTCTCGGGGTGGGGGTGGGTATGCAAATAAATAAATAAATAAAAATAAATAAATAAATAAATAAATAAAACTCTGGGATGAGATAACTGTGACTGAGGCTTGATAAAGAAAACATGGGGGACTGCTGGTGGTGGCGCACACCTTTAATCTCGGCGCTCGGGAGGCAGAGGCAGAGGCAGGCAGATCTCTTGTAAGTTCGAGGCCAGCCTGGTCTACAAAGTGAGTTTCAGGACAGCCAGGTCTGTTACACAAGAGAAACTGTTTTGAAAAAACAAAAAAGGCGGTGGGGGGGGGGGCGCTTTCTGTTTATGTGGGAGGTTGTACCAATACAATGTACATGTTTTAGAAATTCTTCCAATACGGTTGTTTAGGGAATATGGGGGGGGGGCAGATACTGTAAAGGTACAGACACATGGTGTTTAAAAATACTTCAGTCTGAGTTCTGAGTCAATGCGTACTCCGTGATTGACTAGGGGAGATGAAGCAGGCAGGTAAGCCATTGAGGAGGCCTTGGCAGTGGCCTAGAATCATGGGAGATGCTGTGTAGCTGATACAGTGCCTGAAGCTTCAGGACTAGACTGGAGAATCAGTTTTGAAGATTTAGGAGGGGACAGTGGTTTAATATGGGAACGGATAAAGTAGAAGGAAAATGCACACGGACACCTGGCTTGGTAACGCCTCTTCTCATTAACGCCAATAATGGGGTTAATAGGCCATGGTGGGAAACAGTGAGTCACAGGGTTAGGTGATGGTACAGGGATTGAAAGAAGCAACCAGTGTGGATCATTTTACATATGTGCTGTTGCTGGGGACACAGCAGTGAGTAGAAATCAGTTGGAAATACATATATATATATATATATATATATATATATATATATATATATATAAGACAGAGAGAGAGAGAGAGACAGACAGACAGACAGACAGACAAGAAGCAGGGAATAAACACTATCGAGAAGGGACACAGCTTTGGATAGGGTATTCAGGGAAAATGTCACTGAAGAAAGATGTCGGGGAAGATAGATGAATCATGAATACCACCTGGGCCGGGGACTCTTTGGGTAAGTGCAGTATCTATTTATCTGGATAGAAGTAGCCCATGCAGTGGGAGCCTAGTCAGGTGCCACAGCTTAAGAGATGGGCCTGAGAGTTTTGAGGCCTGGGTCTGGGAGGCGTCTCTGAAAAGTGCACTGAGATGCCCAGTGGATTTTAAGGATCAGCACTCTGAAGATAGTTGACAGGTGGCCAGGAAGCTAGGTGACATCAACGATGGAATGAATATTCTTAAAAAATGAAAACAGAACTAGCTCTACAATATCTCCTCAGTGCCAAATGCTAAACCAAGAGGTGGAAGGAAATCCGGGTTGGGGTTCCAGAAGCCAACTAACAGGAGGACTCCACATAGGAGTGGGGAATTGTCGGGTGGTGTGGTCAAGTGTGTGCTCAAGTGTGTGCCGTGTCTGTACATTCATTTCAGCAGAGAGGTAGAACTGCAAATACAGGAGAGAAAGAACTGAGGGCAGTGCCCTGAGTGGTGAGGAGGGTGGAGTCTGCCAGCCTGGGTAATGGCAGAAGGGAAGCAGGTGCTTTTAGGTGGGTGTGGTCAGCCTTAGGCCTTTGGCAAAGTTCCCCAATGATTTATTGCATGTAAGGAGCTAGAGGAAGGGCAGCCTGTTAGAGAGTTGAGGTGAGCCAAAAATGTGAAGTAGTTAAGCAGTGGAGGGTGGGGCTCTACAGGGCAGGGCCACAGCACCTGGAAGTCCTCAGAATTAGTTCATGACTTCTGTAAGATCAAAGCTGTCCTCGGTGCTAAGGGGCTTGTTTTGCAGGCGTGTAATCTCTGGATCACAAGCATCACAAGCACTAGAGAAGTCAACTGTTTCTTTTAAACCAGACACTGGAAATGACAACGCTACCATCACTTGGTTTTTGTTTACATCACTATATCTCTTGACAAAATTATTCATGTCAATATATAATGTATTTATTTTTAAATGAAGAACTTAAAATTGAGAATGTATAGGCCATATAGCTTAAGGTTTCTATTGCCGTGATAAAACACTGACCAATATCCTGAGTTAATCAACTGAGGGAAGCCGAGGCAGGAAGTGAAGCAGAACTGGTTGCTGGCTTCTTCCCCTGGCTTTCTCAGGTAGCTTTTTGTTTTGTTTTTGAGACAGGGTTTCTCTGTGGCTTTGGAGGCTGGCCTGGAACTAGCTCTGGTAGACCAGGC